GCTATGAGAAATCTCTGAGGGTGCTGGTCATATTCTTTTTCTCCATGGAGGTTCTGATAATATGAATGTGTTCAGTTTGTATAGATTCACTGAGCTAACACTTACATGTGAACTTTCCTGTGTTTATATTGTGTGCACATTGTGCTCAGTCAGTCATGTCTGAGTTTTTCTGACCCCATAGACTGTAGCCTGCCAGACTCCTCTGTCCTTGGTATTTCCCAGGCAAGGTACTAGCGTGGGTTGCCATTTCCTACTCCAGGGGATCTTCCCCACCCAGGGATTGAATCCGTGTCTCTTGCTTGGCGGGTGGATTCTTTACCACTGTGCCACCTGGGAAGCCTCTATGTATATTATACCTCAATAAAATTATCTTATAAAATACTCTTGACAACTTATGCTTACAATGGATTGCATTATTTTTTATCAAGAACTGGTCAACAGGTTTTACCAATAAGTTTGGAATCAGTTTTGCCCTCCTTTTTTGTGTTCTCTTGCTCTTTATGTTTCTAATAGCTAAAGATTCAGAATCACAGAGAAGTATCTTGATTTTCTCAGCAACAGAGATGTCCAGAGGCTGACTTTTATGTAAGCAGAAGGCCATATTAAATTATTTCTTGCCTCTTTACCTTTTATTGGAACATGCTGTTGAATTATCTGTATTTACTGGTTAAAAGACTGACACAGCTCTGAAGAGTCAGAAGCTATTGAAATAATTTTTAATTCATTTCTATCTCTTTCTCACTTTTTTTACTTTGATTTTTTTTGCTGTGTTTATGCCACTTACCAATAAACCTGAGTTTTTTTTAACATTGTCTGTACATTGTATATGTATAAATATATAAAAAATTATATAAATACAGAAGTTCTGTCATCCTGACCATGATCTGGAAGGACTGCTATCCCATTTTATGGTCCTTTCATCTTGATATTTGGGTTAGCAAGGAAGACAAAAATAAGTGAAGATAGGAAATTTCTAAGTAATACCAAAATTTACTTTTTAAAGAAAATATTAGTCATGAAAGCAATTGAAGATAGAGAGCCACAGGGTCATTATGGCCCAAGGCAGTTAATGTTTTATGTGTTTTATAAGATTATTTTCAGACACTTGAAAAGAAAGCCATTAAACACAGGGGTTTTAAAGAAAACTATTGTTTGGGTGATGTGTCACTTGCAACAAAAAGACATGGCAGATGTCTCTCATAGAAGATGAAAAGGAAAGAAAACAAAAGACTTAATTAAAAGTGACTAAAGGGGAAAAACACTAAAGTAAGATAAAGAACTTGAAGGCTCTGAGTATTCCCCCTGTCCATCCACATTTACTAGTATTAGTAATTGAATATGGAGGGGCATCTAAGAGAAAATAGAATGCATTGTATGTGAGCTCTGTATTTTCTGGTGGATTCAATAGTTAACCATAATTGAATTTATTTCTTCTATTTTGCCAAAGAAGGAGAAGTCAAGGAATAATAGACTAAAACAAAACAAAACAAAAACATCATCCTATCTTTCCTGTGTGCCTAATATTTGCCAAGTCTGTATAGCACACCTATACTGTTTCACTTAAGCCTCAGAAACTTAAGACTCTGATGTGGTATTATTTCAATCCCCATTTTACTATTGAATAGATTGTCCCTCAGAAAGACTAAGTCACTTGCCTCAGACAGTGAAGCTGGTAAGACTTGGGTTCAAAAAAATTAACTATTTCTGTCTCAGAAATGTGTGCAATTTTGCTACATCATACTTGTAATGCTATGGAATGAGGCATTGGATTTAGGAAAGAAGAGAAAACCATTCAAGAGAAAAGACATGTTTTGGGTTCCTCAGGGTAGGCATAGTCCAGGAGGAATAAGGCTGAGCACCTGAACATCCATGCAGTTACAGGCTAAATATTGTACATTTCTTTGAACATCACTTTAATTAGACCATAGGAGGGGAAATTTCAATCAAAGTGCTTGAAATTACTTTTAAGTTCAACATGCATTAAGTGAGGAAGATGAAATCTTCATGAATCCTTAACGTAAAACATATGCTTTCATAAGAAATTTTGAACCTGCAGTCACTATATACTTTTCACTGCTAGGCTCTGAGATAAATACATTCAGTCTTATCTGCTGGAAGGATGCTTTAGTGGAACATTCTGAGAAGCACTCTATTAGAGATCATGGTGGCTATAACAAATATAAATTGGCTTTCTATTGTCATACTTTAATATATCACTGATTGCATGAGTTTGAATAGTATATATATCAGGAACTATCTTTTTCTCTATCACCTCACTGCTTTCTAGGTGCCCCAATGAAATGTGCCTGGAGGCCTCTGATTAGTCCTTGCCTCCCTTTCTGTTTTGTTTGATTCCAGTTTAAAAGGGAAAATTATAAAATACCTGGTCCTTGTGTATAAACTTGTATCAAAGCAAGATGCTATTTGCCTTGCTGATCTTCGTCTCAGCTCCTTGTCCAAAAGCATAATCTTTCTACTCCTTGTATCTTGGATGCTAGGTGATTCTTACAACTTTGAGGTTCATGTTTTATTCTTTGCCCCAAGACTTAGACCTTTTCAAGTTCCTGCCATTCTTCTTGAATGAACATTTTGCAACCTGCATCCTTCCTGGTTTGACATACTTTATTATCTATCAGTTTATCTGTCTATCTAGATACATACATTTTATTAAGAATAAGTATTTCTGTCAACTAACTATATTTAATTTACTTCAAAACCTCACACATTTCACTGTGCAATTTTGTTTTTGTCAATAAATTTAAAAGTCACACACTTCTCAAAAGGAAAATTTGCTCCTAGAAAAAAAAAAAAGAACATTTTCAAGGTATTATAGACCTTTAACCAATATGAAAATAAAATCTTAATATTCCTCACCACCACTGCAAAGTTACTCTGGATTATATATGAGATCCTTGACAGGTTCATTTTCTTTGCTTATTAGTAGAAGGCTTCCTTTAATATTTCATGAAAATGGCATTGTTGTTTCAATATTTACCTGTACGTTATGTATAGTAAAAGTACTTTTTAAATGTTCTAGTGGCATAGTGTTTTGTGGTCTACATAGGATCTCCGCTGAAACATCCAGACTGTGTTGCTGTGGCTTGTGGGCTTAGCATTTGCTTCACATGGGCTTAGTTGCCCCGTGGCATGAGATCTTAGTTCCCCAACCAAGACTGAACCCATGTCCCCTGCATTAGAAGGCAGATTCTTGACCTCTGGACCATCAGGGAAGTCCCTGCCCTGGAATTTTAAATCAGAAGTATTTGAGCAGAATTTCAAAAGAATGGCTTGTGGTTATCTTTGTCAAAGCACATATGTGGCTCAGTTCCCAAAGCTGAGTATGGAGGGACTGGTAGACTTTCTGCAGTGGTCAGTGGTCAGTCTCATTAAGTGACATACCTGGACACTGACAGGACTTGTCTTGGACATGGCTACCTGGCTGTAGGGAGATCCTGAATCCTCTGTCTTCAATCTTAGAAGCTTCAGAGATGTCTTTTGACTGCAAACCAGGGTTCTTCTTAGCTGTGTGAAATCTGAAGTTTGTGTGTGATTGAAGGAGTGGATAAGGAAAGGCCAATCACCCAAAGGCTAATGATAGACCCATCATGTGACATTGTGAGGAAAGTATTCCCTGATCCTCAGACTATGGGAATTCCCTTGGTTATGTGCTCCTGAGTTTCTTTTACTTCTCCCCCATAGCATTACCTTTTAGAAATATTTGTTTTCCCTGCTCAACTCAAAGTTCCATGAAGATGGGGGTCATATCCAACTGATTTACTAGTGTATGCTCTAGCACCTAGTCTGGGTTTATTGGTGCTCAATAAACATCTCTCATTGATAAATTAGAGCTTTCTTGATATCTTGGGTTGTGAACGATTTCATATGAAGGGACTGGAGTCTTAAAACCAGAAAAAAATATCTGGGGGCATGACAGAAGAAATAAAATATTTGAAAGATAATCAGATGGAAGGAGGAAAAGGCCAAGTAAGCAGCCTAATCAAATAGAATGAACAAGAGCCCCAGGAATTAGACAGATCTGGGCCAAAAACTTGGTTTTATCATCTTCTTGTTTTGTCACAAAGGGCCATATGTTCAACCTGTGTGTCATCAATAGAATGAGTATACCAATGCTAACCTCCCAGAAATGTTACACAAATTATAAATTTAGTGGGATGTTTGTTATGAATAGTTAGCTCTTATGAATAGTTATTCCAAAAATGTTAGATGCTATTAGTGGCTATTTTTTTTTCTGCAATATAATTCCCAAGTATAGAAGTGAGAAAAATAGATGAAAAGCTTTCACTGACTTATCTCACTTAATTTAAATCATATTGTTTTAAAATTTGAGCCATCCAATATGTGACTAGATCATTCTGAGGCAGCATGCAAAATGTGTATGCAGAGAATTATGGGTGAAGGATGGTGAACCCTCAATTATTACATATTATATTTCCAAGCATGCTAAATGCTTAAATTTTATGTACCCACCCAAGGCAAATTATTTGTAGTCTTTCTTGGTGTATTTACTTCTCCCCAAACAGTGCCCAGTTAAGTTCAGTTCAGTTCAGTCGCTCAGTTGTGTCTGACTCTTTGCGACCCCGTGAATCGCAGCATGCCAAGCCTCCCTGTCCATCACCAACTCCCGGAGTTCACTCAAACTCATATCCATTGAGTCAGTGATGCCATCCAGCCATCTCATCCTCTGTCATCCCCTTCTCCTCCTGCCCCCAATCCCTCCCAGCATCAGGGTCTTTTCCAATGAGTCAACTCTTCGCATGAGGTGGCCAAAGTATTGGAGTTTCAGCTTCAGCATCAGTCCTTCCAATGAACACCCAGGACTGATCTCCTTTAGGATGGACTGGTTGGATCTCCTTGCAGTCCAAGGGACTCTCAAGAGTCAAACAGTGCCCAACTGCCGATAATTTAAACATTTTTTTCTTTCCTTCATAGAATCAGCATTCAAAAAGATGGGTTAATTAGATCCATTAGACTATAAATCTCCAACTCTTGCTATTGAGAGAAATATTTAATAAGTTTGGCTGAATAATGATTTATTGTTTTTTGTTTTTTACTGGGAAGTTCTCTTTTCATCCATCACCATTGGCAGATTAAGCATTAGACTCATTAAATATTCTTCAACATAGCTTTAAATTTTAAAAGGCATAATCATAGAAATGGATACCTGGAAGCATGCTTTATATAATTGGGTGTATTTCTTATTTCAGTTCGGGAAGCAGCACATAGAAAACCTCTTCAGTGACCTACAGGATGGGAGACGCCTCCTAGACCTTCTTGAAGGCCTGACAGGGCAAAAACTGGTATGTGACTTAAAATATTTATAAGAGCTTCACATTAACCTCAGAAGAATTTCAGACCAGAAACAAACTCATCATAATTTTATGAGATCTAGTAAACTTCCTTAATTTACTAATTACTGATTTAAGTAGCAATATAGGACCTATTTCTGAATAAAACAACCTTGCAATATTATTTTTACTTTGGCATGTTCTATCATATGCAGAACAAGAAGGTGAAATTTGCAGTAATAGATATTATTCTTTACTATTATTTGGTATCTTTATTACTGAATATATTTTAATAAGGCTTTTATACCTAATGACCTTTTAAGTTTAACTGTTTTTAGTCTTTTTTCTTTTCATCTTCCAGTTTATTAAAATATAATTGACATATAGCACTGTACATATTTAAAGTATACAGCATAATAATTTGACTTACATACTTACATCATGAAATAATTATCAGGAGTTTAATGATTGTCCATCATATCATACAGATGAACTTAAAGAAGTAGGAAAATTCTATTTTTCCTTTTCCTTGTGATAAGAACTCTTAGGCTATAAGAACACTTAACATGAAATATGGAAAATGGGGAGTTACTGTTCAACAGATGTAGAGTTTCAATCATGCAAGATGAATCAACTCCAGAGATTCACTGTACAATATTGTGCCTATAGTTAATGCTGTTATATTGTGCAGTTAAAATTGTTTTAGGATGGTAGATCTCACTTAGGAGTAAATACTGCAGGCATCACAATGGCAGACTTTCTAAACCTCCACAACTGAATGAGTTAATTCATATATTGTAATACAATATATTACACATATATATATTGCATATTACATAATTGTAAACACTATACATATGTTAGTTTAAAAATTATAGGGCAAGGTAAGACTTTGGGAATTGAGGGTAAGGTTTAAAGAACTGAAGATGATTGAGGTTTTGAGCTTCAGTGACTAAGACAATTAAGGTAATATTGACAGAAATAGTTTCCTTTAAGCCCATTTGGCATTATAGAATTTTGCTAGGCTCAAATCTCTTTTAAACTTTCCTAAAAATTGTGGGAATTAACTCATTTATATTCCTAGAAAATGTCTGTATGCATGCTAATGTTTCTCACAGTGGTCATTCAACTGGACTGTAGAATGAAGGAGAGATTACCAAAATTGCTTTTGCGACAGGAAAAAAATGTTATCAGTTTTCTTGAGGAGTGGTTGATTCATGCTAAGAAACTCCTATGACAAGGGCAATTAACCCAAAGCACTTAAATTCATTATATTAATGCCTCACAGCCTGTGATCATTTAAACGATTCCAACTGAAAAGTGAAATGTAGAAGTTGCTTTCTACATTGTTTCTGGTAGATTGTCCTTCTCTCCTCCTGGGCAGTCAACATATTTTCATTTTGTTTTCAGCCAAAAGAAAAAGGATCCACAAGAGTTCATGCCCTGAACAATGTCAACAAGGCACTGCAAGTCTTGCAGAAAAATAATGTAAGTGGAGCCCTGGACAGTGTCTGAATACCATGAGACAGCATGCTTAATGCTTGAGTGACGGCTTTGGTCCCAAATGCAGAGAAAGCATTTCGGGTTCTCTTGAAATTCAAAGCAGTTAATAAGAGCATGTGTTCAAGTTCACGTGCATCTGCTTGTGGCTGATGTGATACATGAAGTAAGTGTATGCAGCCATAGGGGGCAGGGAAGGTTATGAATCACACCTGGTTGGCCACTCTGTCTTGTTTTTAGATTTTACATGATGAGGTTATATTTGGTGGACAGATAAAGTCCTGTAGTAAACTTATCTCCTTACAGCAGTGTTTCTGTGCAGCAAATGGCTTTTACTCAGCAATTCTTATTTTTTATGAATAAAGTGTATTCACACATGATGATGATTAAGTTTGTTTGAATTAAGCCAGTGTTTCTTAGATGGCACATCCAAGTATGAAAGTTACACAGAAAAAAATCAGCATTTCACCTTGTCATAAGAGTTGCAAATTTGTTTTCTATTCCTGTATCTGATTTGATTTAACTAGGAGAAAATAGATGTGTGGTATTAGAAAAAGTCAACAATCATATCTAAACAAGTATGTAGATGAAAGCTCTCCTTGTCTCCTCAGAATGACTTTGAGATTCCTCTCCCTCTCATGACATTGGAGGCAGCCCTCCTTTCTTATTAAATTTCCACAATCTTTCTAATTGACAAATATATTTACCAGGCATTTTTGGTAGCTTCCTAATTACATTATGTCTCTCTTTCAAGGATAAATCCAAATAATTGATCGCATACTCTTAAAATAACCATACTGAAAGATTAGCAATGTATACTCCCCCAAACATTGCTTAGCTCATCTGGCAGGGAGAGGATGTCTCTCTGGAAATAGAAGTGAAGGTGGTGTAGCAACTGGCCCATTTTTATGAAAGGTTATATTTAACCTATAAAAGTTATTTTATAGAAACACTGTATACTGTTTATTATTTCCTGCAGTGATTAGCTATTTTCAAATTTTCTTCAGGAAAATAAGATAGTCTGTGGAATGTTTTCCTTTGTATGAGTCCTATTGTTGTTGAGTTGCTAAGTCATGTCCAATTCTTTTGCAACCCCACGGACTGTAGCCCATCAGGCTCCTCTGTCCATGGGATTTCCCAGGCAAGAATGCTGGAGTGGATTCCTCCATTTCCTTCTCCAGGGGATCTTCCCCACCCAGGGATGGAACCTGTATTCCCTGCATTGGCAGGCAGATTCTTCACCATCTGAGCCATAGTCGATTTCCAATGTTGTGTTAATTTTAGTTGTATAGCAGTATGATTCTGTTATAAATATATATATATATTTTCCATATTTTTATCCATTATGATTTATCACAGGATATTGAATATAATTCCCTGTGCTATTTCATCAGGTGGGATCTTGTTATTTATCCATTCTGTCTACAATAGTTTGCCTCTGCTAATCTCAATTCCCAATCCTTCCCTCCCCCACCCATCCTCCTGATGGCAACCACAAGTCTGCTCTCTATGTCTGTGAGTCTGTTTTGGTTCATAGATATGTTCATGAGTCATATTTTAGATTCACATGTAAATGATATCCTATGGCACTTGGCTTTGTTTTTCCGCCTTTGCTTAGTATAATAATCTCTCAGTCCACCCATGTTGCTGCACATGACATCATTTCATCCTGTAGAACATTTTGAAAGATCATTATCATTTAAAGCAAGAAAATGTTTTAACAATATTGGGAACTTAAAGAAAATGTCTTTTTTAAGTATCGATTCTTTGTATTCTATTACAAAGTATGAAACCTGTTTATTACCATATGTAAAATAGATGACCAGTGCAAGTTTGATGCATGAAGCAGGGCACTCAAAGCTGGTTCAGTTCAGTCAGTTCAGTCGCTCAGTCATGTCCGACTCTTTGCGACCCCATGGACTGCAGCACGTCAGGCCTCCTTGTCCATCGCCGACTCCCAGAGTTTACACAAACTCATATCCATTGAGTCAGTGATGCCATCCAGCCATCTCATCCTCTGTCGTCCCCTTCTCCTCCTGCCCTCCAACTTTCCCAGCATCAGAGTCTTTTCCATTGAGTCAGTTCTTCTCATCAGGTGGCCCAAGTATTGGAGTTTCAGCCTCAGCATCAGTCCTTCCAGTGAATATTCAGGGCTGATTTCCTTTAAGATGGACTGGTTGGATCTCCTTGCAGTCCAAGGGACTCTCAAGAGTCTTCTCCAACACCACAGTTCAAAAGCATCAATTCTTGGATGCTCCTCTTTCTTTATAGTCCAACTCTCACATCCATACATGACTACTGGAAAAACAATAGCTTTACTAGATGGACTTTTGTTGGCAAAGTAATGTCTCTACTTTTGAATATGCTGTCTAGTTTGGTCATAACTTTTCTTCCAAGGAACAGGCGTCTTTCAGTTTCATGGCTGCAGTCACCATCTGCAGTGATCCTGGACCCCCCCAAAAAATAGTCTGTCACTGTTTCCACTGTTTCCCCATCTATTTGCCATGAAGTGATGGGACCAGATACCATGATCTTAGTTTTCTGAATGTTGAGCTTTAAGCCAACTTTTTCACTCTCCTCTTTCACTTTCACCAAGAGGCTCTTTAGTTCTTCCCTTTCTGCCATAAGGATGGTGTCATCTGCATACCTCTGAGGATAACCCAGAAGGATGGGGTGGGGAGGGAGGTGGGAGAGGGGTTCAGTATGGTGGGACACAAGTACACCCATAGCTGGTTCATATCAATATGGCAAAAACTACCATAATATTGTAAAATAATTAGCCTCCAATTAAAATAAATACATTCATTAAAAAAAAGAGCAAGGAAAACAGCAGAAAATTCAAAGAATTATTAGATTTAATCTAGCTGAAGAAATTGATCTCTTCCTAGTAAAAGAATGTCATATTAAAACATAAGCTGTTGGATCTCCTCTAAGGTAGTGGATTAACGTAGCCATAGATTTTTTTTTTTTTGGAAGAGTTTTGTTTTTCACATATTGATTATATATTGTAAATCTGTTGGGGTTCTATACATATTATAATTATTAAGGTCACAATTTTCAATATAGGACCAGAAGAAATTCTAGCAATAAAATAGAAAAACAATAAAATAAAATCTCTGTGACTTTGAGAATAACCAATTATTTCTTAGGTGTGAAGCCCAAGGTATGATTCAAAAACCGAAAAAAGTTAACTTGAATTTCATCAAAAGTATGAATTGTTCTTATATATGGATATGAGTCCTTTGGATTAAAATTCTAACTCACTTTATGTTTTGATAAAGAGCAGTCCTTTATTTTAATGTAGTTCATTTTTATAAATTTCCACTTTATAATTGTGTGTTCTATTTATGAAATATTTCCCTATCAAAAGACATGATGGTATTGTCTTTTGTCATTATCCGTATGAGCTTTATTTTACCATCTGGATTTGGATCTATATTTCACCTGGAAATCATTATTATGTATGGTAAGGGGAATGGGTTAAAATTCAGGTTATTTTTTTTTTTACTTAGAATCTAAATGACAATATCATTCGTTAAAAAGAATGTTGCTTGCCTATTGTTCTCCAGTACTAAGTATATAAATTTTTTTTCAGTACATACGTAATTTCACTTCTGGGCTTAAAATCACTTCTATGCATCATTAATACCATGCCATGTGCAATACTGTAGTTTTTTAAAATTATTCTTTAACAGATTTATTGAAATATAATTTACAAAAATTATATAGATTTAAGTTGTACATCTTGATTATTTTTAGGATCTTACTTAATCCTGCTGCCTCCAATATCTATTAAGGCATAGTTGACAAATAAAATTTGCATATATTTAAGGTATACAAAGTGAAAATTATTGGATCTTGAGTTTATAGAATTCTATATCCAAAGTATATAATGAATTATATAGATAGGTAATAATAATCTCAGTCACTCAGTCATGTCCAATTCTTTGAAACCCCGTGAACTGTAGCCCACTAGACTTCTCTGCCCATTGATTTTCCAGGCAAGAATACTGGAGTGGGTTGACTTTTCTTACCCCAGGAATTCTTCAGTTTTGTAATACACCTTGTTATCTGGTGAACTGAATTTTACCACTTTTTTTCTTATTCAGTATTTTCTTAGCTATATTGTCCCTTTGTATTTCTGGGTTCATTTTACAATCATCTTTTTTAATTTCCACAGGAACTTTGTTTTGAATACAATCAATACTGAGTTACATGTAGATCAGCTTGGAAAGGATTGACACCTTTACGTTGTTGAGTATATTAGATATACCTATGATTCTTTAAATTTTAGAGAATAAGAAACAAATCCAATGGGAAAAAATGGGCAACAAACTTGAACAGGAACTTCACAAAAGAGGATGTTCAGAAATTCAAAAATAATATGAAAGTTTTATAACCTCAGGAATAATTGGGGAAATTAAAATTTCAACGAGATATTGATACAAACTCACAAAAATGGTTGAAATTAGACTCATAATTCTGAGTGTATATGAGGGTTTGGAATAAATTAATCTCTCACAACTAACTGGTAAAAATGTAATTCAGACAGCCATTGAAAATAGTTTGGCATTATATACTAAATGGAATGAAAATGTGCAATTCTTATGACACAACATTTAATTCCTTAGCATATAACAGAGCTACATTTCTATCTTTGCCAAAAAAATTTATATACATATAATATTTTTATATATATAAAGTGTTCATAACAGCTTCATTTGTAATAGCCAAAATCAGAATGAAAATGAACAAATGATAGTGACACACAGTGGTGGAATTTCATTGCTAAGCTGCATTCAACTCTTGCGACCCCATTTACTATAGCCCACCATGCTCCCCTGTTCATGGGATTTCCCAGGCAAAAATACTGGAGTGGATTGCCATTTCCTTCTTCAGGTGATCTTCTCAACCCAGGGATTGAACCCTAGTCTCCTGCATTGCAGGTGGTCTCCTGGTTTGGCAGGCAGATACTTTACCACTGTGCT